GTCATAGCGCCGTCAATAGCCGAGAAATTCATAGGTTTTAAAAGCACTTATTCCGAGTTGGGTTTTTAACAATCATAATTTCTGAGTAAGATTGGAATGAGCGAGTTGACAACGTTTGAATAATACCCCCCCACCACCTCCACATGACCGTGCCCCCCAGTCAACTTCCTAACAAGAGGCAGTGGTCAAAATGGAACATTCCCTGACGTTTTTCTGTGCAAACACTGACTGCGTGACAAGACTAACTGTTATTCACAGCTTCCGGCTTTCTGTGAAAGTGTATTTAACCCCATTCGGGGAACGCTACAATCTCGTAAAAATCTTACAACTCTACACAAAAAATCTGAGCATTACGGCAGTTTTCAAAAAGAAACGCAGCCGAGAGATGAGAGAAAATAAAACACGTCATTTGCTTTACCTTGGCCAGCAGGAGAACAGAATATGAAATCATTATTGTTTGTGTATAACCTCCAGTAACTATATTTCACACTTTCCTGAGGCCCACTTGATAAGATTTTTTTTGGGGAGTAAATTATAGATTGATTTGTTAAGTGTTGTGTTTTTATATGGGCTGTTGTTAAGTCGTGGAGTTTGTTCTTTGAAAGGCCAGAAAGAGACAGTAACTCAAACTGGAGAATTAGCAGGGAGAGGTTAAAACAAATACATTGACTGTGCGGAAAGTGAAGGCTGGCGTGAATGCCTCTTGTCCCCCCTGGGTCGCTGTAAGTTGTTAAGGACTGATAACAGATATACTGGCACATCACCAGTATCGGAATCGGACCGGGCCGTTCTGTCCTTCCAATCCCTTCTATCGTTTGTGGTTGCTCTTTATCTAAAGGCACTCTGCCCCGTCCCTCTTGATTCTGTCACTTTTAATATCCTGAGTTTACTAACTAGCCCCACACCAGCCTTATTTTTGAAGTGTGAGTAAATTTCTTTTAGGAACAAGTGCCCCCTGTCTTCAACCCTTGAGCGGTCTCGCTCTCGGTTTAAGGTCATTCCTGGTTGTTCTTGCTTCACCATCCCGGAGCTCATGACTATAAGCCCCTCAGCTCATTCCCTACACACATGATAGTAGGAACTGCGCATTCCAGCTTTAGTTGGTTAGGACAGGACCACTTAGTAAGCCGTACACAGCGCACACTGTAAGACCAACCATCCAGCTGTTTTCAGTTTGTTGAAGGGAACGCTGTTTATTCGGGCGGGAGTGGGAAACACAACCAAGTAACCGTTCCATTGAGCTCCGGAAACAGAAATTCCCTGACCCACTGATAGAGTCAGGGAAAGCGCTGGTGTCCGGGACTGCAATTCACTGAACATGGTAGTCAGGGATCGGTACAAAGGTAGAGGTTGGGTTCTGTGTGTGTGTGTGTGGAGGGGTGGGGGGATGGATGGTTTTTATGGGCTGGGGCCGCTGTCCATGGACAGTTGAAGCTCTGAAGGGGATCTCTAAATATCCCCGCTCCCACCTTCTCCCCACTTCATTGGGAGGCCCGAATTCCTGGGCGGACACTGATGCTGTGGTGATATTGGTGATATTGTGGTGATAGTGGAGGCAGCAGTTTCTTACACTGCCGTTGCATACAGTCCAGGGGCTTACCCAGGAGATTCCAGTGTTCACCGACCTCAGTCTCTGTGTTGACTCCCCTCCCTCCCCATCCCCCGCCGCAGGGGAACAATGCAGCCTGTTCACACACACCTCACTGTCCAGTCTGCCCCACCAAAAATGCTAATGAGTCTGTTGTTGTTGAGCTGCGAGTCTCTGATGATTAAAGTACAAAGGAACGCTAGCGCCGTGGTCAGGTCTCGGAATGGCCAGACAGCCTTTAGCAGCCGCTTTGCTGCCCTTTAAATCAGGAAATTTCGTCCCGTTCCTGAACATCCCGTGTACTCGACCTGCATACACTGTGCCGCGAGTTTGTCTGACCAAGCAACATCTTACCTTCTCTACACTAAAGTACAGCACAGTACGTACATTACAGTCCTTTAGAATACGGGATACACACGCCAGTCCATTTAACACCGTACAGTCGTACATTATTTACAAAGGTCTACATTACCGAAAGGTTCATGGAGCTCAAATATGATGCAGAGATTTGCCAGGTTTACACGGGGTTAATCAGTCATTTGAGTTTAATTGTCCATTGAGGTCTAAACCACTGTGGGGGTGGGGGCTGGATTCTCCAGTGGAACAGGCAAGGGATATCATTGAGATTTTACAAATTGACAGCGTCAATGTTTCCTAAGCTTGATGAATCGGTACCAAAGGCCAACGGCCCGACTGGAAAAAGGACGGGAGAATATTTTAAAAATCCGTGTTCAAGTAGAAGGTGCTTTCCAAATACCCATTCAGGCACCAGCTCCATTTGTAATGCTCAGAGCAGGCGATAACCTAGTGGCATTATCACTAGACCCAACATTGTATATAATCCAAGGACTGTACCGTATTAAATTCACAGGTATCTGTATCCAATATTATAGAGTACTGTAATCCAGAGACCCAGGTAATGTTCTGGGGACCTGCGTCCCAATCCCGCCACAGTTGAATTTGACAATAATCCAGAAGTAAGAGTCTAATGATGACCATGAAACCGATTGTGAGGAAAATCCTTCCTGGTTCACTAATGTCCTTTGGGACAATACCCATTACCTTACCATCCTTACTTGGTCTGGCCTACATGCAGATGTGGTTGACTCTTAACTGCCCTCACGGCAATTAGGGACGGGCAATAAATACTGGCCAAGTCAGTAATGCCCTCATCCCAAAAATGAATAAAACAAAATTGGAAATCAAGACAGAAACAGTTGGGAAGGAAACTGGGATATAGGATGGGACAGTTCCAGAATTAAAAATAAAACAGAAGTTGCTGGAAAACCTCAGCAGGTCAGGCAGCATCTGGGGAAAGAAGTCAGAGTTAGTGTTTCGGGTTGAGGGACCCTTCCTCAAAACTGGATATTTGCAGTTGGAGAGGGAGAAGTTGCGTGAGGCGCAGTAACAGCGCAGTGTCACACGCAATCATCTGGTTCACCAATGTCCTTTAGGGAAGGAAACTGCCATCCTTAACTGGTCTGTTCTACATGTGACTCCAGACACACAGCAATGTGGTTGACTATTAACTTTCACTGGGTGATTGGGAATGGGCGATAAATGCTGACCCAGCCAGCGACACCCCCATAACTGTGAATAAATAAAAAAAAACATGGGCACTACCGAATTCCGGGACATGACTCCTTTCTCTCGAATCAACTTAAATCGAGCATTAAAAATGAGGCAAACTGAATTCTGAGTTTAAATCAACTGCGGGTACTGAAGACATTTTAATTCTGAACTTTTTGTTTGCCGGATAGATGCAGTACTGCGTTACTGACGGCACTGACCCTTTAGTGTCTTTTTTTCCGACGGCCGTTAATATGAAGGGGACGGGTTCATAAATTATTGGGATATTTTAGCAAATTCAAACGGCCTGACTCGTTAATGTGAAATCCGGGCTAGCAGCGGTTCAGGCCGAAAACGGCCCCTGCGGTCCGCCAGTCAGAGGGGACGGAGAACGGGAAGGTGGCGCAGAGAGAGACAAAAAAAGAGTGCAGGAATACTGAGAAAGACTCAGCGAATTTCCCCTGGAATCTCTCAGAGACTAGGGGAAGGCGCGAACTGGGAATAGTTCAAACCCCTCTCCGTCCTCCCGGACAGCGTACACAAGGGATCTACCCGCTGAGGCCTCGGGATTGGCCGAGCTCATTGGCTAAGTTGGACAGGGTCATCCCTATTCGGAGCCGGATTGCCACACTCGGATTGGGGGTGGGGAGGGGAGGGGGAGAAGCAGAAGATCCCACTCCTTCTGCCCCCACCTTCCAACCAAATCGATCCTGGGGAATGTGTATAAAGGGCTGGGAGTCTTCAGCGGGTCCTCAGGGTAAAAAGAAGCAGCGAGGAGCAGTTGGCTCGGTGAGTCTCCTATATTTCCAACAGAGTTTGCTCAGAATCGGAAATGGAAAGAGGCTTTGTCATAAATCACCAAACCCTGGACATCCCAGCACCGCCTGAACTGTTAGCGGTTGAGAAATTCTGAGCGTAAAGGGGTATTAAAAAAAAATACGCACAATTGGATGCAAGTAAAAAGTGAGCCGAGTTATATCCCAGCGGTTCTGGGAGTCTCTGTTACTGGCTCAGCCCCAGTCCTGACGCTGCACACGCAGGTAAATGTCCCTGAACACCTGACCATCCTGACTTGGAGCTGCACTAGCCGGCACGTTTTGGAAGGATAGCGCGGCCGTGTGCCACCTCTCTGGGACAGACGCAGCAGCTTCCCAACCCTCTCACCAAGAGGTTTGGGAGGATTTGGGGGGTGTGCGTAGCCACTGAGGTGTCCAAAAGATGTGCAGGTTAGGGTAGACTGGCCCGCTAAATTTCCCATAGCGTCCAGGGGTGTACAGGTTAGGTAGGTTAGCCATGCTATATTGTCCATAGCGTCCAGGGGTGTACAGGTTAGGTAGGTTAGACATGCTATATTGTCCCTAGCGTCCAGGGGTGTACAGGTTAGGTAGGTTAGCCACACTGTATTGTCCATAGCGTCCAGATGTCTGTAGGTTAGGTAGGTTAGCCATGCTATATTGTCCATAGCGTCCAGGAGTCTACAGGTTAGGTAGGTTAGCCATGCAATATTGTCCATAGCGTCCAGGGGTGTGCAGGTTAGGTAGGTTAGCCACGCTGTATGGTCCATAGCGTCCAGGGCTGTGCAGGTTAGGGTGGATTGGCCATGCTATATTGCCCTTAGCGTCCATGGATGAGCAGGCTAGATAGGTTAGCCATAGGAAATGTAGGGTTACAGGGATAGGGCGGGTCTGGGTAGGATGCTGTTCGGACGGTCAGTGTGAACTCGATGGGCCGAACGGCTGTAGGGATTCAATGATTCTAGGTAGTTTGCGTGGCTATGACGTGACGAGTGAATCCCCGCCCCCGGGGCGGAGCCTGGGCTTGGGTTCCGCCTGGAGAGGGAACATTCTCATTGGCAGCGGCTCAGAGGGGGAGCACATAGTGAAAGGGAGAACGCGGGAGGCTTCAGTGATCACTAGACCCTGCGCTGCAGCGTACTTCACCCCGGGAAAGGGAACATGCTGTGGAAATTAGCTGACAATGTCAAGTATGAGGAAGATTGCGAGGTGAGAGGGAGATCTGCACCGGGGTCGTTGGATAGGGGTGGGGGGATGGAAGGTCGATGGAGACAAGACCTGTCCTTTTTTTTTTGTCTGCAGCAGACTGTTTTGAAGTTGTTTCTGGTGAGCAGTGTTGTCACTGTGTCAGAATTGGGCTCTGTTTCAAACCCACTGTCGGCGTTTTCATAACATCCAATCTCGCTTGAAACTTCGCTCGCACTTCTCCCCACTGTCGGTGAATTGAAGACGATTGAGTGTGGTATCTTCAGGCCCAATATTCCGGGACATTATCCCCACCCGAGTCCTCAGGCTGTGCTGTTAGTGGACATCTGAACCTTAACTTGAGCAACTCTTTGTTAATTACAATTTGTGTGTGTGTGTGTGTGTGTGTGTGATTTCAACGCAATTTCAGGCGTGGGGTGACCGCGGTTCTAGGTCGATAACTTTTCGGGAAACAAGTTTGGAGCTGAGCAAGAGTTGGTGATGTGTGTGTGTGTGTGTGTGTCTGTGGGGGGGCGGGGGGGTGGGGGGTGGGGGGGGGGGCTGCTTCCAAACTGCCTATTAGCCCCCCCGCCCCTTCTTCACCAAATCTTGCCCCCCAACCCCCCACTCCGGCCCCAGGTTTAGGCAGACACTCCCGACTAGACCATCCAGTTAGACTGGTTTGTGGGGGATCTGTGTACAGTAGTGAAGGTCTGACAGAGCGGAGCAGGGAGGGGTTGTTCAGGGGAATTAAATGCCCCTTTCAGAGTCAGGGTAGGGTTGCGCCTCCGGCCCCCCCCCCCCACCCCACAACCACCACAAAGAAAAACCTTCCCACCCTCTTCCCCAAACCCACTCGCCTCCTTCCTCGGTGCAGCTTTTCTTCCAGAATTGTCCCAGGTTTATTTCTGAAGCTTGGGGGGTGGGGGGAGGTACTCCACGCGTCCACATTGTTGTCCCCTCCCGAGTCTCCCGATGGGTATTTTCTGTCGAAAGGGAGCGGGTTGGTGTGTCTCCGTGCCGCTCCCTCATTCACTCCCAGCGCACCACAACCGGACGGAGGATTTCTCCATCTCTCGCCCCTCTCTCGGCGTGTCCTGTCCTGCCCACATTCCCTCAGCAATCCCATCCTTTGACTCATATTCAGCACCGCCAAGTTCTCATGAACTCCCAGAGTTACCTGGGTTCAGATTTCCCGAGGGCCCGGGGAGTAGGGGGACTGTTCCCTGAATTTGCTAATGCCCCCCTTTCAGCCCGGAGACCCGGAAACAGTGGGGTTTTAATTAACCTCTCTTCGTTTCTGAGAGAGAAACTGATGATTTTTTACGGATAAAATTCTGTTCCAGCAATGACCAACTAGAACTGGATTTGAAATTGTTCTGAATCTCCTTGAAATGTAGGTTTAAAACTTATAAATATATAATAAAGCACGCACTATATATAAACACATATAAAAACACAATATATATACATATAAAATACACCCATATAAACATATAAAACATATATACACATATTAAACACAAACATATATGTGGCAAATATATATAAAGCGCACATAAAGCACATTTTTATGCTTTACATATATGTTTTATGTATATTTATACTTTTTTTGTTTTAAACCTACATTTCAAGGAGATTTGAGAACAATTTGAACCCAGTTCTAAACCCCCAGTCAATCATTAATCATTATTGTTCCGTTTCATTTCGGATCAAACCGCTGACTGCTTTAAGAAGGTGAGTCCTCCCTTCAGTGAAAGTGACTACTCACCAAGAAGATTCCACCCGGAATAATTTGAAAGCCGGTTATTAAATTTCTTTACCGGATCGGCGACTGAGGGGGAGCTGCTGAGGTTTTCCGAGGGTATTGTGTCGGGAGCCTCATTTTCCCAGTTAAAATACATCCGTGAACCGTGGACAGATTGATTCAGACGCTGGAAATGATGGGGAAAGGAATGTGGGTTAGGACTTCTCCAGTAGGGGTAACTGTGTGGCTGTCGGACTGGGCTGGAGATTTAAGGATGGATATTTAATCGCCGCGTTGTCAAACAAATCTTAGAGTCATGGAGATGTACTACTCGTCCAGATATCCTAAATAAATCTAGTCCCATTTGCCAGATTTCGTCCCATATCCCTCTAAACCCTTCCTAGTCATGTACCCATCCAGATGCCCTTTAAATGTTGTAATTGTACCAGCCTCCACCACCTCCTCTGGCAGCTCATTCCATACTGGCACCACCCTCTGTGTGAAAAAGTTGCCCCTTAGATCCCTTTTAAATTTTTCTCCTCTCACCTTAAACCTATGCCCTGTAGTTTTGGACCCCCCCCCACCCAAGAAAAAAAGACCTTGGCTATTCACCCTATCCATGCCCCTCATGATTTTATGAATCTCTATAAGGTCACCCCTCAGCCTCCAACTCTCCAGGGAAAATAGCCCCAACCTATTCAACCTCTCCCTGTAGCTCAAACCCTCCAACCCTGGCAACATCCTTGTAAGAGTTTTCTTGTATTTGGTCACCTAAAGCACGCACTTCGCACAATATCAGATTGGTCAGAGAGCTCAATGAGGAAAATTGGAATGTTAACTTTTTTAAATAAATGTTTAGCAACTATATTAGATGGGGGGGGGGAGAATGAAAAAAATATTTCCCCCCACAGATGGGGCTATAACCACCGAGAGGCGAATGCACTGAGTGCTGGAGTTGCTGTTCAAAATGTGTGTTCTTTAAACTTAAAAGCTGGCGAAATTCAGCAAGTCTGGGAGCATCTGTGGAGAGAAAGGGTTAATGTTTTTGAGGGTCGCTGGACCTGAAACGTTAATTCTGCTTTCTCTCTCAGTAGCTCCTGAGAGAGTTTCTCCAGCAATTTCTGTTTTTGATTTCCAGCAGTTCTCTGTTTATTTTTAAAGTTGTTTAATTTGAGCAGTACTTAATCCTGACTGAATTCTCTCTCCCTCTCTTGTCTCTTGCAGGACCGACACGATGGGATTAGCAATGGGACTCCCAGACCGCCCCAGCTTGGGGCAGTTTCGCAGCACTTGTACACGGCGCCGCCTCTGTCTCACACTCCGAGTTCCGAGTTCCAGCCACCTTATTTCCCTCCTCCGTACCAGCCCGTGGCGTACAGCCAGTCCTCGGATCACTACTCCCACCTGAGCGACCCATACTCCCTCAACCTCCTTCACCAGCAACAGCAAGCCGCCTCAGGCTGGCAAAGCCGACAGCAACCGGAGAGCGGGCTCTCCCAGCACCAGCGGGTTGGCCTCGCTGCACAGCTCTCGGCGCTGGAACCCAGGAGGGAGATCCGGCGCCCGGACATCCTCACCCCCGGCTCCCACCACATGGACACAGGCCTGGCGGAGAACCTCAATATCCACGAGGTGGTACACAGCATGGAGGAAGTGCAGGTACTGTCCTTAATGATAGTTATCAATCTCCCTGCAACAGCAACTCTATAATGCATTTCTAATTATGCCCATCTCAATCACTGCAGACCAACCTTTAAATGTTTAATATTGGCTCGTGGGAGTGAAGACAGAACAGACTGGCCTGAAATATTTTCTGTATTGCAATAAATCAGCGGGATAACACCACAAAGAGACGGGGATAGGAACAGGCTGCAACGAAAACAGAAATTACTGGAAAAGCTCAGCAGGTCTGGCAGCATCTGTGCAGAGAAATCTGAGTTGACCTTTCCGATCCAATTCCTCAGAACTCCTGCTGAGCCATTCCAGTAATTTCTACTTCTGTTTGATTTCGGGCATCTGCAGTTCTTTTGAGTTTTTACACAGGAAAAGGCTATTTGGCTCCTGTAACCTGCTACCCCTTCCACAGCATCATGTCCGAGTTTTGTTTTTCTTTGAAAATAACGCAGAGCTGGTTTATTTAACTTCTTTCCCGAAGTTTTGAACTTTGTTTTCTCTCCTGACTGTGATTTAACAGCAAAATCCAATCGCTGTAGTTCGACTTTCCTGCTTTTTCCCTGATTCCATCCCCCATCCCCCCACCCCCAACTGGTGAATAATTCATTAATCTCAGCGTTAAACATAGATCTGACATGTCACATTTAAAAATAATATTGTGTAAGGAGACCAGTGCGGGTTCCTTCGCAAAACAATGAGTCAGTTACAATATCCAGATGTTAATGGCGGTGCATTTCAGAATGACAAAGCCTCTGCTCATCTCCTTGCAGCCTCACGTGAACGCGCACAGATCAACGTCCCACAACTAGCGCCAAGTGGAAAATTGCCCCGGAACCCTCTCCATCACCCTCACCCCACTCAGTTGTTAACTAATTTGTTGACTTGAAATCAAAATCCCTTGTTGTTTGTACCGGGCGATTTCTGTAAAGGGTCACAGCAGAAACTTGTATCAATGTTCACCGTTTAGTGATGAATTGTACAGAGCCAGTGTCTGGCTGGGACAGTGGACACCAACAACAGTCAGAGTTTACGCGGCAACAGTTGACTGAAAAAAAAATGACATTATTCGGAACCTGTCCCTGGAAATATGCTTCAGATTTTACAATTCTTAGTTGTTGGACTGAACAGTTGGCGTTTTTGGCAGTTGTCCTGTTGTAGGGGGGCTAGTGAGGTTGAAGCTGCCGGGGTAATTGTACATGGGATAGATCAGAAGGAATTGACAACAAGCGAGGCTGGAACTCCATGCAGCTGATGAGAGAGGGCGACCACTGAACAAAGCAGCCCCTTAATGAAGCGGGGCCTGAGGGGCTTGGGAGGTGCCCATCACATTCCCGGGATTGTCGGAAATTGTGAAGTACACGGCAGGATTGCATCCCGTTCGCTGGGGCAGTCAACCCTGAGGCACATCAGCCTCCCTGGGCCAGAAGTATTCCTTCATATACATTGTTAAAAAAAACCTTGAAACTGTCTCTTTCATTTCCAACCCTTTCTTTATATAAAAAAGATGGTTATCAGTCATTTTTTAAGTAACATAGAAACCGTCACTTTAATATATTAGAGATAAGGTGTAGAGCTGGATCAATTCAGAAGAAGGGTCCAGGCCCAAAAAGTCAGCTTTCCTGCTCCTCTGATGCTGCTTGGCCTGCTGCGTTCATCCAGCTCTACACCTTGTTATCTCAGAGTCTCCAGCATGGGCAGTTCCTACTATGTCTGAATTGCTTTTAACCCCACTTTAATATATTAACTGTGTTTCATTTTGTTTCTATTTCAAACAAACTTTCACTGCTCTATTTGGGAGATTTGAAGGTTTGTTTTTCCACTGAGATGTTGGGATATCTGTGTTAATGTTTCTATCCATGTTCATGTTTGCTATTCATGTCTCCTTTGCTTGGAGCAGACAGTGGCGGAGTTTCTCAGTATCCAGGGCTGTGCACTGCAGAGTTAACTCTGTGATAACACAGTGTGGAGCTGAAGGAACACAGCACGGCAGGCAGCATCAGAGGAGCGGGACGTTGACATTTAGAGTTGGGCCTGCTGTGTTCCTCCAGCTCCACGCCTTGTTATGTCAGACTCCAGCATCGGCAGTTCTTGCTATCTCTGAGAGAGTTAACTCTGTGCAGTTTCAGTCAGTCACCTTAAGGGCCATGCCTCTGTGTGTATTCATGTTACTTCAACGCAGCTCTCTCTCTCTTCCTTGCAGCCTCCGGAGGAGCCCAGCTTGCTCCTACAGGATCATGGCGTTATTAAGAAAGGTGAGTGTCTGTCCAGCTCTGCTACAGGGACACTAGCAATGTTCGCAGCTCAGCTTTGGTGTCAGTCTATTCAGAGCGGTGTTAGACTCAAACTGAGGGAGTAGCTGTATTTCTGGGTTGTTTGGACAAATTTCCTTTCAAATATTTACCCTCCCATCAACCAGGACATCATCGGACCCTGTCACCAGGGGAAAGATTTATCTAAGACTCCAGCTCTGGATATGGGGTAATTGCCACACCAGCTCCTGTGGCCTGGATCGTGGTCATCAAGGTGTACCCTACCCTCCCTCACCTAACTTGATCCTCACTTCACCAGGTCCTTTATTTTTATTCACTCCTGGGAATGTGGGTGTCGCTGGCTGGGCCAGGATTATTTATTTATTTCCCATCTCTTGTTGCCTTGGCAAAAGTAGAGCTGAACTGCCTGCCCTGGTATTCCAAGCACTAGCTGTGAAAGAAGGGGAGAGAGAGCAATTGGATTGCCACTCAGAGAGGACAATAATCCACTCCCAGGTCCATCTTCTCCAATTGGATGTCATCACTGGAGTGGATTACAATTATCAGAGGTTTTGCAGAGATAAGGGAGTTTCTGGAGGGGTGGATCTTCATCAGAATGGCCTGCACCACTCTTTCTTCCAATCACATTATTCTTCAACTGCGTGGTGATGGGTTAAGTTTGAGTCTGGGTTTCTAGAGGTGATGGTTAACTCTATTGGACTCTAGCTTTGGGATAGTGCCATTTGCTCTGTTGAATTTGCTTGAGTGCAAAGTTGTGTTTTCGTTCGGTGAATTGTATTTTGTTCTACCTGAAACCGATGGGAATCCTAGTCCCGTGTCCCTTCCTCCTGCACATGTACACCTGGGCTGTAACTGTTGTCAAATCTTTTGGATTGTCCAGGACTCTGCAGGAATTGAAGTTCATTGTCCAGGAAACAGCCAATAGCAAACCAATGACAAACTTGTTGGGAACATTTCTAAAAGATGTGATTTTTTTTGGTGATAGAAATATTGGTCATAAAGTGCAAAGACTGGATGATACTTCAGTGTCAGTCAATTGGGGCTATTCACTTTCTCATCGTTATTCAGTATGAGGGAGTGACCAGGCAGGATTGTGGAAAAACTTCCAGAAATAGATCGAACCAGAGTTGGCAACTGAACTTGTTTAAGTTGAGATTTAGGGACTGGTCTCACTTGTGGAATTCCTTGTTTCGTTGGCATGGCCTCTCCTGCATCTTTGTGGATTGTGGGTTGAATGATTTGTTCATTTGTGCATTTACTGTAATTTCTCTGAGTTGCTGAACTCTGGCCAGAGAATGGTTGTTAAGATAGAATTGACAATGTGCTTCCCCCCTGTCTGCAACCAGAGACTGCTCCCAATTGTAAACGAGGTCCATTTATACTGCAGTTTATTGTTGCTGCAAGGAGCTGGGAATGCAATTGCATTTAACTGAAGAGGTGAACTCCAACTGTATTGGAGAAAGTGAATGTTGCCCCATCTCAGGTGTGATCCCTGCTGTTGGCAATTGGTTTGCTGACGTGGAACTTTCTCAGCTTCATGACTATTGTCTAAAACAGGAAACAAAATTTCTCCCAATATTACCACTGCCATCAGAGATCCGCTGCTGGAGATCCAGCCACCCCAGTGGATCGCTTTCCAGCTCCCAGTGCCTCTTTAGCAGAATCCCCTTAGTTGCTCCAGATTGCAGTCCAAGACCAGCTATACAATCATAGAATCCCTACAGTGTGGAAACAAGCCATTCGACCCAACACGTCCACACTGCCCCAAAGCTATGCTTTGCTGTGAAGTCAAAACCCATGTACAACAGACAACCAACACTTCTGGTCGACTCTTCCAGTGGTGTAAAACTGAACAAATGACTGCACTTAATTATTAATATTTCAATAAAAGGCTACGTTAGGCAGGATCGGGATCTCAGGACTCCACATTTCTTTCGGTGGTAAGGGTTTGGGGGAGCAGGAGAGAGTGCCTACTATCCATTGTCTTTCAGCAACTCCTATTTTTGGTAGGTTTTGGATGTGACACCTCCCTTAGTTGAGCAGTCCAATCGCATATGCAGAATAGGTTAATAACCTGTGAGAAAAATAACAGTTGGCTTTTGGCTGTGATGGGGTCGGGAGATGCGAGTGAGAAAAACTGATTAGCTAGAGACAGGGTGTTCAATTCTGAGCTTTTCTTCACATTTTTCCATTTATAACTTGGTCTTATTAACTGTTGGAGTGCTTTGAAAAGAAAAATTTAAGATAATGGAAGCTCTGGTCAGTGTCATAAATTCTTTTAGCCCCTGGTGAATCTATGCTGCACTCTCTCATGGCTAATATCATTCCTGAGGTGTGGTGCTTAGAACCGAACACAATTCTCCAGATAGGATCTGAACAGAGCTCCATACAGCTGAAACATCACTTCTGCAAGGCCACAGTTGGATTTGGGGAAGAGAAGTTGTCTTCGGATGGTCCTGGTGAAAGGAACAGTTTTGACCAGGAAGAAAGCAAGACCACCACTGCTTAATGTGGCCCAGTCAGATCCAGTTTTGTATCAGAGACATAATGTTTGCACTCTCCTGCCTGGGATGACATTGATCCCAAGTATAAAGCAAGATTGAGTTCCTCCAGCCTATCACAAGGCAATGGTGTGGTATATCCGCCTCCCACTCCTGCAAGATTCATATCATATTCTGGGAAATTTTTGAATGCTTTCTCATTTTGATTGATACAAAGATAGTTATAAGCTGAATAAGACCAAAAGACATAGGAACACGAGTAGGCCATTCAGCCCCTCAAGCCTACTCTAGCATACATTAGGCTCATGGCTGATCTGACATTCCTCGTGTCCACTTTGCTGCCCTTTCCCAGTAGAATCATAGAATCCTACAGTGTGGAAGCAGGCCATTTGGCCCATTGGGTTTACACCAACCCTCCAAAGAGCATCCCACCCCATCCTTGTAACCCTACATTTCTCATGGCCAGTCCACCTAACCTGTATGTCTTTGGGCTGTAGGAGGAAACCAGAGCACCCGGAGGAAACCCATGCAGATACAGGGAGAATGTGCAAACTCCACACAGACAGTCGCCCGAGGGTGGGATTGAACCCTGGTCCCTGATGCCGTGAGGTAGCAGTGCTAACCACTGAGCTACTGTGCTAACCCCTACTGATCAAGAATCTATCTCTCTCAGCTTAAATATACACTTTAAATATACTCTGCTTCCACAGCCCTCTGTAGCAAGGAATTCCAAAGTCTCAAAACCCTCTGAGAGAAGAAATTCCTCCTCATCTCAGTCTTAAACTGAGATAACAAGGTGTAGAACTGGATGAACACAGCAGGCCCAGCAGCATCAGAGGAGCAGGAAAGCTGACGTTTTGGGCCTAGACCCTCGAAACGTCAGCTTTCCTGCTCCTCTGATGCTGTTTGGTCTGCTGTGTTCATCCAGCTCTACACCTTGTTATCTCAGATTCTCCAGCATCGGCAGTTCCTACTATCTCAGTCTCAAACTGGTGTCCTTCTAATCTAAGGCTCAGACCTCTGGCCCTAGACTCTCTCAGGAGGGGAAACATCCTTTGAGCATTTACCCTGTCAAGCCCCTTAAGAATCTGATATGTTTCAGTGAGATTGACTCTGGATGTACCCTTCACAGTAATACTAGCTGCAACATGATGTTGCCACGTGTCGGGGTAGATGGGAACCTGAAACTAATATTCCTTCTTGTTTAGCTGGGACCACCGCAAGGTGATCTGTTGTGATTTATAACCTATTGCTTGTTGTACTGGCTCTGACTGGTGAATTCACCTTGTGTTTCTTGTGGTGTTGACTTGACCATTAACCACTGCAATCTGAGGTCGGGTGCTCTTGTTTGGGTTTCACTCTGATGTCCCTTTGTATATGCTGTGCAGGGTTCTCTCCCAGTTATTCAATTGGGCATTTGATGGGCTTGCAATGTGCATAAAGTTTACCCTTACTGCAGGCAGTGGAAGCAGCTCTGAGCAGTTTTTGTACCTGGTTGGAGATTGCATTACAGCCTTTGGGTCATCACTCCTACCTCCAGGTTAATGTCACAAATCTAATGTTGGAGTATTGAGTGGTTTACTGCTCAGCACACCCCAGAACAGCTGGGGGGTCTTGTCTGGGGAGCTCTGGAACCTCTCATAATACTTCACACTTTGCTTCGATTGGCTTGTCCTCATCTCAAGTTGATCCATTTAAGGGGGGCACGGTGACACAGCACTATGGACCTGGGACAACAAGGTGCAGAGCTGGATGAACTATGGACCTGGGTTTGATTCCAGCCTTAGATGACTGTCTGTATGGAGTTTGCATGTTCTCCCCCCTGTCTGCGTGACTTTCCTCCAGATGCTCTGGTTTCCTCCCACAGTCCAAAGATGTGCAGATTAGGTGGATTGGCCATGCTAAATTGCCCATGGTGTTCAGCGATGTGCGGGCTAGGTGGGTTAGCCATGGGAAATGCAGATTAACAGGGATAGAATGGGGGTGGGGCATGTGTGGGTGCCTGATCTTCAGAGGTGTTGGTGCAGACTAAATGGGTTGACTGGCCTCTCTGCACTGTATGGATTCCATGACAATCATTGTATCTGCTCAGGAATAAGATGTCATTTAAAATAAAAACCTCATCAGGAAAGAGGTGCGTGTGTCTGTGTGTCACGTTTAACTCCACCATTTTAAACAGTATTTCTAATCTTGGACGCATCTTGAATTCCTTATGGAGGGGGCCAATCATTGTGAATGAAGCCAGGCTGGTGGGCTACTAGGAATCAGGTGAAAACAATTGGATCTTTCCAAAATTGACCATGGTAGACTTTGTGAGATAGAAGTGGCATGGGATATGGACCAATGGTGAGTGCATAGAGCTGAATTGCAGATCAACTCTGATCTAATTGAATGGAAATCAGGATTGAAAGGCTGTGTGTTTCAAAGTGCAACTCCTTGCTATTGTCTGTGAAAGACCTTGATGTGTGAATTATGACATTTACGATTAGCCCACACATTCTTTGCTTGATGTGTTCCTAATCCCAAAGAGAGCACTTGAGGGCCCTGAGGAGCCCCACAACCTTTACCTGGTGCTAAAATGCTGGTGACTTGACCACATAATCCAGGCTGTAATATCAGTGTAATATAAGAGCAGTGGTGAGGTGATGGACTCATAATCTAGGGACAAAAGTTGCTGGAAAAGCTCAGCAGGTCTGGCAGCATCTGT